GGCAAGGTTTTCTTTTCTTTCCTTGACAATGTGGAGCTTTTCCTTTCTTCTTTGGGCTGGTTTTTTTCGTTTTCTTTACCCAAGGACTTTTTTCTGCTTTTGATTTTTCCATAGGAGTTAGCGTAAAGAGTTTCCATGTGGGAATTTTTGTCAAGTGCATGATGTAAATAAAAATATGCAAATAACATGAAAAACGAGCAATGAGCATTTGCCGCAAAAATTTCCCCAGGGTTCTCGCCCGTTGACAAGATTGTGACACCTTCCTAGTTTATTAACTTTATTTGAAAATACGTTTTTTCTAAATAACTCGGCCGCTTTTTGAGATTTTTAATGTTTTTCTTTTGGAAACATTAGATAAAATGACAAACTTAAATTTTGTCCAATAAAAGAAAAAACGATTTTTTTGGCCTCTGAAGGTGGGAAGTAACCTTAATATGTATCAAATTCTTTCCTGAAAATTGAACAAAAACTTGACCCTCCCTACCACAACTATGTGAATGCATGGAACTATTCTATAGAAATTGCCACTTCCTTGACATTTTGGTGAAAATTTCCCAACAAGAAGATAGGTGGCTGAAAGGCCAATGAAACCACATATTATGAAAAAGAGAGAGAAAAAACAAAACAAAAGGCAAAAAATTATAAATCTCCAAAGTTTGCTATTTGTGCAAGTCCAAATTTGCGCATGTCCAAACTTTCAGGCTCAAAATGAAAGGACCGGATCATCCCCGAGTGAAGTTTTGGGTGGTTTGGCCATAATCCCTTGAGGAAAGAACCAGAAAGAGATCTGTGTAGTGCAAAATGCCATTCCTGACCAAGGGGTTAATGGGTTAATCAGTGAATAAATTTAATACATCTATGAACAGAGAGGCTATACAGGCACGCACCTGTAAATAAATCCTCATATAGCCTGACGTGAATCCAGCTACAATGCAAGTCCAGTCTGGTGACCCTTGAGAACTCCTAAAGAATAAGAGGTAGCAACTGCAAATTGAGATGGTTTTCAAATGTCTTTAGAAGTAAAACCAAACAATGGAAATCACTAACAGCTGGATGCCACTAAGGAAGAGAAAATACCCATAGTTCAAAATGGCAGGGGTTTGAAATATCCAAGTCAACATTAAATATGAAAATAATGATTATCATGTAAAAAAACTCATTATGATAACAAAACCAACCCGAAATGGCGGTGAGTTGGAAATAAATGAAACGAAAAATCCAGTTGTATTTGCAGTGACAGTAAAAGCATCAAATCAGTACTGTACACCATATCAATCAACTCTGAGAGATTTAGGTTAATGATCGTCTAACTAATACACATAACAATGGCTTGAATAAATGAAAAAAGGTGAGGCAGGCATAAACAATACTAAAGAAAAGAGAAAGGAAGTTTCAAATTACATTCACCTGTGCTGAGATGCTAATGGTATACACAGTATATCTGTAATGCTTTCCCTAGAATTGAATAAAAACAAGAAACCCAGTGAAAACTATCATTTTGTAAGCAGACACTTCCATGGCTAGAACTGTGCCTGTTTAGCATAGATGTCTCCATCTACTGTATAACTTGTAAATTATGTTTGCATTTTGCTGAGACCATGAACAGAGAGTGGGTATGGGCTGTGTGCATTCTGCGTCAACACCCAAAAATGGACATCTATTGACATTGAGATATTCTTACTGTAGCAGAATTCTACTACGCAGTTTCTTAGTTCAAATGCTACAATTGTGATTGGACGCACCATATACACTATCAGCCAATAGTGCACAGATACACTGTAGCCCTATCAGATCATGTGTACTAAAGGCATCCACTGTCCAGTGTTGATTGATACCCTCGATTGACATCACTTGATTGACATCTCGATTAGTACTCAGTCAACACATGATCAATATCTCAGTTGACGGTCAGTTGCGAATCATCTAATTTTTGCAGACACGTTATCGAGTGATGATTGATAAATGCGAGCTGGTTGACACTCAGCCAACTATTGGCCAACTGTTGATCAGGTGTTGACCAAGTATCAATTATGATATCGATAGAGTGTCGATCAAGATATTGATCAAGTGTTGATAGAGGGTTGATTGAGGGTATCGATCAACACTTGACAGCAGATGCCTTTAGTACATGTGATACGCCGTATCTTACCCACATGGGTAGCCAATCACAATGCAGGATTGGGTTCATCTTAACCGTTCAAAGAGCAAGCCATAATAATTATTTTTTATTACTAAAAGAACAAAGTGTATGAATAGTCAGTCACAAGGTGCCAGAACGTTGACTGGGGACTTGCTCCTCTAAAACCTGACAGCTACATATTAAACATTTTCAGTAAGAGATAGGTGGGGAGAGGTTGCAATGACTAAAACCCTTCCCCTGGATCTGCCTGACTAAAGTAGACAAGGGTCAGGCACAGCACTCCTAACAATATTCATAAATAAAATAAAATTATAACCAGTTCATACATGTATAGAGCATACATTGTAGTCCTAAAAAAAGCTTTTACCCTTCCTCCACGGCCAGCCTGCCACTCCACACTATTTCATACTTTGTGCTAGGTTCACCACCTGACGACTTATTCCATTTACCTGGAAAATGATAGACATATGTTACAAATTAAACAACATAGCCACCTGCATATTTCTTATTTGCTCAGGTCCAAATGACTGACAACGTAATTTGTCTGTCCAGTTCTTCCTCATAGTCTTTATCTCGTGTTGCAGAAGGCAGGGTGGGTAGGTGGTTAGATGAACTTGATACCTGTGGTCTTAAATCAAAGTTCTCCACTCTGGTCACTGGTGAGCATGAATTGGGATGGGCAGGGGGGAGGGGGGCACACAGAGGGTCTGAAGTTCCACTTCACATACTTTTCTCCCCTGGTTCTTGCAGCTTCCTCACTTGTTTCCATCTCTTGGTGCTTTATCTATTCCAAATGTTTTGAAATTTTTACCATTTTCCCCTGGTTCCCATTATCCTACTTCTGGGTTTCTCCTCTACCTACCTACCTACCTACCTGCCTGCCTGCCTGCCTGCCTGCCTGCCTGCCTGCCTGCCTGCCTGCCTACATACATAAACTTTATTTAAGCTCAAATTTCAGAGTAGCTTGACGA